ATTGCTACAATAACCTTTAGTCCCTTGTGTCAGTAAATCAGTAAGAAATAACATAGCGCTTTTACAAAATGTAGCTCCAGCCAGCGAAACATTCCGTGAAATTCTTCTTCCTTTTATAGGAACATGTAATAGCTACAGGAGTACAGAGACAGTAGGTTCCTTCTGTCACCGTACAGCCTGACAGGAATCTGCAAAACTGGACCTTCTGCTTTTATAAATTTTGTGAACTCATGCTATAGGATGATCAATAAATATAGTCTTAAAAGACGTAAACGCAAATATTTCTAAATTCCGGGGCATAACGCCGTATAGTTAGTAAAAACTCAGCTGACGTTTCGGAGCAGAATGTCGCCTCCATCTTCAAAGAGAAGAATAATCAAACAAGGTTTTATGTAAGATTTGAGGCTTTCACGGCGGTGACTATGAAGAAAGCAGTCTTCTGGGATTTGGCACCGTGTATATGTGACACGGTGCCAAATCCCAGAAGACTGCTTTCTTCAAGCAAGGTTTTACTTCAGTCACCTCCCAGGATTCTAATTACGCTTCAAGCACTCCATATAACCCCAACGTACAGACCATAGAAGCTGGGTGTTAGTAGACTCACAAGAGAAAACCTTCACACAAAAACTGCAATAAAACCTGGGTATCAGTTCATTCATTCATGGGTAATCTGTCAGACGACAGGTCCACAGTCTCTTCCAAACAGTTCTCCTCAAAATGGAGCATTTTTCTAATTTATTGTCGGGGTTTATGTGCTTGTAAAGGGAATCTCCGATAATGATTTAGAATCTAGCCATCTATTATACAAACCATAACTGCATATTTACTTACAATACACAAAAGTTCTTGGATGTACCAATAACGCAACATTGTCACATACTAAATATATATACTACACGGATATACGTTAACAGCAACGAGATCCATTGACAAAGTGCAGACCCAGTCATCACCTCAACTACACACATTTTACTGAATTTTACTTTATTTATTTATTTTGCTAACATATTGTAACATACTGTCAGCTTTATTACCGTTTCCCTTACATTGTGTTCCAACTTCATGTTGTAACCGCCCGCTGTCTCCACTACTGGCCCAACCTTGATGAGCGCCAATTTCTTTTACTCGACCCACTTAGTGAGACTTCAAGCTCCACACGTTGGTCGTCAATTTATTGCAATCGTCGTTTCACCGTTGTTGCACTTCGTTCTCTTTACACCCGTTTTCTTACCACTGTCTGTCCACTTACTTTAACTGTCGTCTCCGGCCGTGGGCTGCTGGGCTGCTACTGGTGGCGCCGGCTACATCTGGCTTTACTCTGCTCCATTTATCACCATTTACACACCCCTGATCTTTAGGATAATATGTTGTAATTTGGGCGCCAGTAAACTGATACTATCAGTTTACAGATTTATGAAAGGGGCGAAGGTTTCATGAGAGGTTGCTGTGGTGTGTAGCTAGTTCTCCGGTAGAGCTAAGAGTCAGTTCTCAGATCGTTTGGCAGGGTCTCGCTCAGGAAGGGGAGTGGGGAACTCCTGTTATAACACACACACACACACACACTTTGTTCCACCAGACACTTTATTTCTATTAGGTTGTTGATGACTAACTTTGAAACACTTGATTACACTTGCTTGTTAAGTTAGACATCACTCTGAATTTCGTCTGAATATCGAACTGTGTTACTAGTTTTCATACATAATTTCGATATGATAAATTCCACTTAACTGGTACTTTAATTTATCGTTTTAGTTAACTTTGGGACACACAGTTTATACTCTGAAAACTGTAAGCGTAGTAAGTCCACAAATTTTGGAGAGATACAGATTTTGGGTCCGTATGCTTCTTGAGTCGGGAAACAACTGCCTTAGCAGAATGACTTCTCAACTCTCGGAGCCATCTCGGGCCACAAGTCAACTCCCTACATCCGTTTAAGGATTACAGGGAATTCAGACTCCAAAATCTTAACGTGCATTCTGTCAGTAGCCTGACAAATGTTAAGTTTGGCTTGGGTTGAGGGAACACCCATCTTTTAAGTTGCGATGTTCAAAACTGTCACATATCGTATTCTCAAAGGACTCCGACAAGAAAAATTTCGTGTAACTTTCTAAGAACCAACGCTGTGGGGGTCCTTCCTGTTTCACTTCGCATCTGCGTTGACTAGTCCTTTTTCTTTTATCTTTTTCATTTGAGAGTTTGGGCTGTAACTCCATTTTGAGGGCAAGAAATAGCCAATGTACCTCTCGTCCATTTGCTGTATGTTACAAGTACACCAAATCGAACATGGTAATTAACATGGATCAAAACATACTACTAAATTAAATCAAGCTAAGGTTGGCAGATCGGTTACAGCTTGTACGTGTACGAGAAGACTATTGGCGGGGTTTGGACTGATGATCGGACTTATTGGACTTTGTGATACAGGGCGTGACTGCAGGTTACAATTTACCGTTAGACACACACACACACACACACACACACATGCAGTCACTCACTATCACACACAAAAAACACACATACTAATGTAAGATTCGAGGCTTTCACGGCGGTGACTATGAAGAAAGCAGTCTTCTGGGATTTGGCACCGTGTATATGTGGTGTTAACCAACGTTTCGGAGGAACGTATCGCCTCCATCTTCAGGGCAGAAGGGAAAATATAAGAAGTCCGCAAGCGAAGAGACCGTGAGAACCGGTAAAAGCAGATTGGTGTTTGAAATATACACAGCTATGTGAGAGCAGGGAAGGAAGGCAGGAAGGGCAAGTATACAAGTGAAAACAGTAGTGTCGGAGGGGGGGAAGGAGCTGGGTCAAGCTGGGTTTTATGCTGGGGGAGAGAAAGGTAAAGTTAAAGGCTGGGCACTAACCCTTAAGCTGGGGGGGGAGGGGGTTGCTATGTTAGTCAGTCATGGCCTGTGTAGCCTTGTGGATCTGGTGTCATGTCCCGGGGGAGGGGGTGTTTAAGGGAACACATGAGAGGCTTCCATGACTTGCTGAGACTTGCAGATTTCTTATTTTTCCTTCTACCCTGAAGATAGAGGTGATACTTTCCTCTGAAACGTTGGTTAACACATCTACACGGTGCCACATCCCAGAAGACTGCTTTCTTCTTCAGGTAAGTTACTTCACACATTGTCAAACATAACCAGAAGCAGGCAGCAGTGCTTCTGATGGCTTCTTGCATGGCTTCAACCCTGATGAAGGCAATATATTCCTGCAAAACTCTGGACTCTCTGCAAACTACATGGCATTNATTGGTGCTCCTGAAGGATGTAGTGAAGAAGAACGGATACAACAACCGGCAGATCCGCAGAGTTCTCAACCGTCTGCCCAACATCAGCCGGCCTTAAGATAAACCTGGCTCAGTCGCCTTCCTTCCCTATGTCGGGACCATTCGGTATTCAACCGTATCAGCAGAGTGTTGTCCCGGCACAACATCAAGCAGTGTTTCTGCCTCCAAACAAATTATCCAATATCCTCCGGCCGGTTAAAGATAGCCTGGGCCTAAGGACACCGGGTGTATACAGTATCCCATGCGAGTGCGGCAAGGTCTATATTGGGCAGACAGGCCGCTCCGTGGACATGAGGTTGAAGGAGCATCAGCGGCACATCCGTCTCGAACATCCGGACAAGTCGACCTTAGCTGAACACAGCATCGATCTGGGACACCGCATTCAGCTTCAGAATACCTCCATCCTCGCTACCAAGACCGGCTATATGGATCGCATCATTAGGGAGGCAAGGGGGGGGGGGGGGGTTTTTG